TTGTTGCATGCGAGTGAAGACTTCGTCCAGTATTCCTAAATTATCTTCCAGTGTGGTGTTGCAATCACAACGTCGTCAACGCAGCTTAATATATCAGGTTTCCGTTTTTTGTTACATAATTAAGTGCCTGGGCCATTAACCTAGCAATGTTACTGTCGCATAGCACAGTCGTAAGGGCATCGTTTCCCACTAGGACAGTCTCAGCTCGCATGTAAAGCCTGTCTTTTCTCAATCGTGCTTTCTCAGGGGCATCTGCCAAAAGGCAGAACCCAAATCCAAAGTCGTGAAGAAAGTTGTCTCTGTGAAGAAAGACTCATCAATTCATGGGATAGGGTATGCGTTTTTTATCGTTACCGCGTTTAATAATTAGCGGAAATCACAAAACAGCCATAAAACCAAAGTTAGCCTCTTTCTTCGCTATCTCAAGGCCACAAGCCTAGGGAGATTTAAAAGGTTCTATTTTTTCCTATTTTGTCAACGGTCAGGGTCAAAGCGGCCAGGGTCAAACCAACAATAAGAATCAGTTCAGGCCAGAATTTTTTGGTTTTAAGGCTGTGCCGCGCGCGTCTATCAACCGGCTCCGGGGTTTCTCAGATTTCCTTTCAAACTAGCCGCGCAATCGGAACTGTTAACTGAACCAGTTATAGTCCAACGTGGACTTAAATCGGAAGCGTTTGAGAAAAAATTGGATCTAATTTCAAAAAATTGGATCTCATTTCAAAAACTATACATGGAATCATAGTCAACTCTTTTTTCCAAAGTATTCGGTCAAGAAGTGATTAGTGATGTAATGTGATAAAATATTGGTTGTTTTTTTGCCTACATTTTTGCTACCGGGTTTGCCTCCATTTTTTGTACGACAGATTCTTCGCCAGTGTTTGATATCAGTTTTTGTAAAGGAATATCTGAATCTGATTTGTTTGATAGCAAGTTTAAGAGTTAACTCACTTTTTAGAACTGCTTAGAACACTACCAAATTTAACTTCAACACCCGCTAAAGTTCGCATGAGAAAAATTTATGATATCATGGGAGTTAGCTACTACAGCTTCCTTTGCTTCCTGAATTTCCTCCTGAGTTTTCTTTTGATTTAGTAGACTTTTCTGTTTGATTGCACTGATGTTGAACAGTGCAATTTGCAGGCAAGATTTTTCATACCACATCGGCTTCTGCTTGCGTCAGTTTGACGCACAAAGAATATAACCATAATTGGCATGAGTCGCATCCAATACTTGTTCCGCCAGTTGTTGTTTGGTTTTTAGGCTCTTCGGTTTTTCTGCTCGGCTCTTCCTCCTAGCATATCTATTTTATAAGTTTATTAGGCAAGTATGATAATTATATGCTCATCTTCTTTGAAAGTTTCCAGCCCAGCGTGATTAGTCTAATTTCTTTCTCCAGCATCGGTAGACACTTATGGAAAGAACAAATTATCCAAAAATCTGGCATAGCTTTGATGATTGGTGTTGGATTCGATTATAGTATAGATAGAATTTTGGTTGATAAGATATTCTTCTATTTCTTGCCTTCTCTCGTTTCATTGGAACTTTATTTGCCGAACCATTGCATAACTAGTTACAAACTACAGGCAGCTACCTTTCTCTGCTCTTGAACGGTTTTTGGGTTGGGGTGTGCTTGAGTTCCGTGTAACCTTGAGTTGGCAGAGTGCTGCAGTTCTGCTGAGTTTCAAAATGTGTGAAGTTCATTAGGGTAGTACAGCAGGAGCAACTGAAACTCGTTATATTCACTTGTGCGAGCTAGTCTTACAAATCTCGGTAAAATTCGAAAAGAAATGCTTTAGAGTACTGACTTTTTAATAAAGCTGGAGAGATGCCAGAATAGCCAGAATGAACTGGCTGATGAACAATCGATTCAAAGCAATTGAAGTTGCTTTATTAGTGACCCTTTGCAACTTCAAAGCTTCTTCCCACTTGGCCTAGAGGTAACGCGGTTGTCTTTGCACCTTAAGGTTATGGGTTTCAGTCATCCCAGACCTTTTTTGCAGTATCTACGAAGTTTCGTTTGCAGTACTTTCGTTTTTCTGCTTATGAGTTGTCGGCTTAGTTGCCTCATCGCCAAATTTTCATCGTATATGCAGTTTTTTTATTTAATCCTCTTATTAGTGAAATTAAGAGATTTGATTTTGTATATTTTCCTCTTTTTTCTCGCTTAAAAGCTTTTTCCGGCCTGAACGGATTCGGCCTATAATTTATCAGCTTAATATCCTTATTGTGCCCAGCTTTAAGGGTAAAAAACGGTTCATTATAAAAATTCAGGTGTTTTGTGTGTTAATACACAAGTTCAAAGTTTCAAAACTGAATTGTTCAGTAAAAGCAAGGGTATTGCAAACGGGTACTACACTTTTTCCGGTAAACAACTTTGTCCATCGGAAGATCTCCAATTTCAAGATATCCATTTTCAGCACGTTGCAATTTGAACTGCAGCAGTCGTCTCTCTGTTGGAAAATGCAGCAGACTTATTTTGAGCATGTTACAATTTGAATATCCGTCCTATTCGAAATTTGCTTTTTAGGTTGGTTGTAGTTTTACCAACTTTAAAAAAAATTTTCTTCGCTTTTTTCTCGGTTTAATAAATTTTGACCTGTTTTATATCGGCTTTTTGGCCTCAAATTTTGTCGTTTAATTATCGAAAAAATTGTGCGCGTGTGTATTGAAGGGGATGGGGCATAAACAACTTTTAATTAGTTTTTAAGTCTTTTTTAATTTCAATTTTTGGTTTTTCTTTTTTTTTCTCGGGTTGATAATTTTCGGCCTAATTTATATTGGCTTATTGGCCTCATATTTTGTCGCTTGATGAGCGAAAAAAGTTTTTGTGTGCTTTAATGTATTGAAAGGGATGGGGAAAAATATTTTTTATTAGTTTCTAAGTTTTTTGATTTTTTTTCGGCTTAAAGGGTTCCCTTTCAGGTATTTATTTTCGGCCTGCTTACAGCTTGGTAAGTTTTCTGCTGATTGTTTTTTACAGTCTATTGTCTTGGTGTGAGTCTTTGATACTTCGGGAGGATTTTGAATTCGTTTAGATAGTTTTAGACATTTCTGATTTTTTCTTTTTCGATTTAGTGGCTGTTTTGCTTTGTATCGCAAGTGGTGCGAAGCTCGGCTTTGCTCTGTGTGCCAATTTCTGGTGGTTTATTGTCTTCGACGCAATGGGCGTCTAACAACGTATATTCGGGAGGATTTTTGTAATCGGGTGTGTTTGTTGTCTTTTCATTTTTTCTTGTTTTCTACGCATAGTCAGGAACCGCAAATAAACATCTGAATGGGTCGAGTGATATATCATGTGAAAATCATTTCAGTCGTAATTCAAAGGACATAAAAAAAATTTGAAAAAAATTCTCGTTGTCGAAAAAACCTGTTTGAAAATTTTGATGTTTAGCCTAATTTCGAGCAAATAAGGTGAGCGAGCTGGCTCACTGAAGCTTATGTTTGCTTGATTTAATCCGTGAAAATTTAGCTTTAGTCGAGTCAAAAGTTTCAAAAAAGGAAAATTTTGGCCTAAAAAACCGTTTTTTTAAACAATTTTTTGTTTTTCTATTCATTTTTTTACAGCACTGTTTTTCAAGTTGGCTGTTTGACTAAGACTGCCGAATATTCCTAAGCTCTTGTTTTTCGTTCAGATCCTTTTATCACACCAAGCAGGAAAAAGTTTTTAGGTCGACCTATTTGATTTTCCGAGTGCTCTCAGAACACTATACGACCCTATTTCAACAAAAATTTTCGCGCGGTAGGAAAATTTTTGGAAATTTTTTTTATCAAAACAGCAGTGTTTTCGGCGCACGCTCCCCTTCAAAATTAAAATATATTGGCGCTCAAGGCGCCTTTAGACAAATTTTAGGGTTGGTCCGCCGGAAATGGATGTCATAAAATAATAAATACCTTTGGTTGAGGACCTTTTGGTTAGTGACGGAGTTGGCTCGTAAATCCGCCCCTGCCTGGTTCATATAAAAGACTAATGAAGTTCTTGATTTTTTTCTCGTTTTTTGGAAGGACGATAGTTGTATTAAGAGCGGATTTTCACAAAGAAGAGAGAAGAGTAATTGGCTAATTATGTGCAAAACCAACCTTTTTTTTGCGTGAAATGAGATATCTCTTTTTGTTGGGATTCGTGGTTTGCGTTTCTGTTTTCGTCGCCCTATTTTTCAAGTTTTTGAATTGCCAACTGTTTTTTTTTATTATAGCGAAGCTGGTGTTCATAGTTTTTCAGCTTATGGCCTAATACTGGTCAATTATCTGTGCATGTGGGTTTTTTTTTCATACTTAATCATTTTTCTAGATACGTAATCATAATGTCTGCTTAATTTTCCTGCTTAACTTATCTTCTCATGGATACATGCTTGAAACGACCAAGGTCAGGTTCGCGTCCGATTAACAACCTAATTTCTGGAAACTTTCAGCTTGGGTTCTTAATTTTCGTTCTATCATTTATCTGTTCATTGTTTGTCGGCGTTCCAAATCATAAATTTTCCAATAGCCTTTTTTTCTGATTTAAACAACTTTTCCTATAGTTCAAAGTCATTTCCGTCTATTCCCGTAATGGTGCAGTGCAGGTAATTGAGTTTTTCCTCTTCTACAAATAATTCCATCGTTTGTCAAATGAGCTTTCATGGTTTTAAAATATAATGAAGAAAATATTGATCTTATAATTCCATCGTTTGTCAAATGAGCTTTCATGATTTTAAAGTATAATTGAGAACATATTGATCTTGTTAAGTATTGAAAATTAGTGGGTTCAAAATAGTCATTTAAAAAAGTTAAAAATTCTGCTTCATATAGTATATATTTTTGTATCGCTTGTGGTTGCGGAAGCACATGTTTGCCCGTTTCGTTTTGTGTGTTCAATGAAAGACGAACATTGAAACGAAGATTTTCAGAAGTGTGTGCTGTCTGCTTCATGCCCCTTAAACCTAGTTCTGTGCTTCAATTAAATATTCATTATCTCTTAAGCAGTTCTATAACAATGTTAATTCAACTTTTTCTAGCAAAATGTATGGTTTCAGATCAGGAGTGAAGAAATCTAACCAGGTTTGAGGCAAGGCAATGCCAAATAGCTAGAAAGTGTTCTAAAACGTTGAATAGCCTATTTTCAACATGGTACTTTTCGACGGAAAGGTCAAGCTAAAAGTGATCGAAGCCGAGGGGCTGAAACCAACCGAGTTCTCGACTCGTTTTCCGAATCTTAGTATATCCAGAAAACCACAACAATACCTAGATCCATTTGTTAGCATCAACATTGACGAGCAATATGTTGGAAGGACGACAACTAGAACTAAAACAGACGCACCCCTCTGGGAAGAGGAGTTCGCTATAGATGTTACATCCGGTGAGAACTTCGGTTTCACAATATTCCACGACACAGCGCTGCCGCCGGACGAGTTCGTCGCAAACACAACGGTTCTGTTCGATGAGATAGTAGAAGTCTCTCTAGATACAAATAGCTGCCAAACTTCGGATATATGGGTATGTGAGAAAACCGTTTTTATAAATTAAATAAGTGGAGCCGGTTGATGTGCAAGTAGCAGATCAAGTTCCGACCACATTTATCTTTAGGATTCTAAAATAGTTAACAAGATGTCTCAGCATAGAGAAAAACTGGACTGCAGTTTTTCGTTTATCAGTCGAATAGAGTTACTTTTGCTGCTCAGTAATGACTTTTGATTAGTTTTTTTTTGCTTAAGAAAGCAAACGTTATAGAATTTGTGAATATTGTAGGCTTAAGCATATCAAATATCTAATCATTTTAGTTGTTCAGTGCAATCTGATTGTAAGTGTTTCTTTTGTCAGTCGATTATTTTTGCTCTATCGGGAGTCAGGCACTCTGTGTGCCTTGTTTATGAGTCTCCATTAGTTAGAACTAGGGACTTTCATATTAATTTTAATTTTGTGTTTTCAGCTGGATTTGGAACCTAGCGGACGCTTACGAGTTTTATTTGAACTAATCGGAACATTCACAAAAGGTATGCAAGCGTCAAACTAAAGTTTTCCCAGATGACTTGAAGAAGCTGGTTAATTTGGATGCATGGTTTGACTGAGTTCTTTTTTTAGAGCCGACTGCCAACAATGAGCGCGTATTTCAAGCAAGAGAAGACGCAATTAAAATGCGCAGAGGCGCCATGCGAAGGAAAATCCACCAGGTGTCCGGGCACAAATTCATGGCCACCTACTTGAAGCAGCCGACGTTCTGCTCTCTATGCTCGTGCTTCATCTGGGGTGTGGTGAACAAGCAGGGATACCAGTGCCAAGTGTGCACCGTGGTAGTGCACAAGAAGTGTCATCAGAAAATTCTCACCAGGTGTCCCGGATGCCCGAAGGCCGACGAAGAACCCGAGGAGGAAGGGGTGGGTAGATTTTCGTCATTTGCAGCGGATTATGAGGGGGAGGGGGTCGACAGCTTTTAACCTGGATCTTGACTTTTTCTCAAATTGGGTTGACATTAGACAATAAGGGATGAGAGCAAAAGTTATCTAGATTTTTAAGGAGAATTAATATGGAGCAATTTATATTAATATGATGCTATTTATTTTGCAAAAATCAGGCCTAAATTTTGGGCTTGTTCTTTTTAGTCAATCAATGACTTCGACAAAACGACCGGGTCAAGTGCTGAAAATACTATAGGATAGTAACCCTGCAAAGTTTAAAAAGGGTATAGTTTTCTGAATTTTGCATAAATCTTAATCTTTTAGGGTCATGAACTGAACGCCTTAAAATCAATATTTCTATATCTTTAATTTACTTTCTACTTGAATGTGCCAAAAGTTTAAATATTTATTTTAATTTCTTTTCTGAGGAGATTCTAAATTGGTTAAAGCTATTCGAAATGTCGTATATACTAATCAAAATAGTTTGATTTAGTTCTTCTTTTTGTGTCATTTTTGCTAAATAAAATACCGATTGTTTAATGAAAAACCTTTTCTGAAAAAAATGTTTTGAGTATTAGAGATTATAGTCTTATAGTCCAGTTAAATTTCGTTGGGCTACCTAATAGGCTGACTGTAACTTTTTCCAAGGATTGATCCGGTAGTTTGGCGTAATTTTAGATTATCTAAAAAGAGCAGAAAAATTATCCAGTTTTGGAGTAAATTTTTGAGTCCGAATTTTGAAAATTTAACTTTAATTTTGGTAAAATTTTTATTGCTACGTTTGTTCTCATGCTTTATTTTCTGTATAATCAACCCAATGTAAGAAAAACGCGTTCAAATTTTTTAATTTCATTTGTTATGTCCGGTTAATTTGAATCAGCGCTATCCGCTATCTGGCAAAATTAACAGGATGTAAGACTATCTCCGAGGGCGAGAGTTCGAATCGCATAGAGGGCCAATGTATTCAAAGTCTAAAAGCCTTTTTTCAGAATTTTATAGAAAGGCATTTTTTATCGGAATGTATAGAAATATATTAAGTTTTCAAAGCTTTTTGTAAAACTTTATATATATTTTTGGCATTTGAAAGCTCCTGTTTGCTTTTTGCTTCGCCTCTGTGTATAGACTAGTGATAATACTGAAGTGTCTTCTATACCTCAAAGTTAGCTAAATTATTTGAACATCTAAATATCACTTAAAATTTTCCTAGTTTGCCATTTGTGCACGGTTCAATGTTGAGTCATGACGCAGTGTTACGATTTTTTTAAATGGAATATGATTGTTTCAGCCTGGTATTGGGAGGTTCAAAATCAATATGCCGCACAAGTTTGAGCCGCACACGTACAAGAGGTTCCATTTCTGCGATCACTGCGGATCTTTGTTGTACGGCCTGGTGAAGCAGGGTCTGCAGTGTACACTATGCAACATGAATGTGCACAAGAGGTGTGCGAAAAATGTGGCGCCCAACTGTGGCATAGACAGAAACAAGCTGGCAGAAATGCTGGCTATAATAGGGTACGACCCCTCCAGTATCCAGACTGCTAGCAAGAAGAGCAAGCGTCATCTACCAGGCACTCCTCTAGGGCAGCCGTCTTCGCTGGTAAATAAACACTGGTTACCACATTAACTAGCCGAAAATACTGGGCAATGAGAGAATTGTTATATAACGTGACAATTGCGTAGCATTTTAAAATATCATGCAAATTTCAGCTAAAGTCAATAAGCTTTCGGCTGTTTGAATATATAATAAGCTACTTGTTTGCTTTAAGATTGGCTTTTTATCGACTCAAATATAAACAATTATCTTCCTCTTGTCTCTTGAATAAATTTCGAAAAATGAGTACGCTTGCGGCTAACAAAGCGATATCAGATCGGAACCTGAGACTTTTTTTCAGGTAGTAAACGTGTTTAAGTAAACCTTAGAATCATTTGGACCAACAGTTGGCTCATCAGATCAACTGGGACCGATCTTTTAGCAGACTAATCTTTTAGCATAAAACTTAAACAATGAGTCTCTAGCAGACCAACGTAGTACAACTGACTCATAATAGATTGACAGACTTAAAAACACGCTCAGTATTGGGGGGCTATTCTCATGCGCGAAGGACCGAATGCGCGTAAAATTTCAACCAATCAGAAATCGTTTATTTTTCTACCGTTCTAACTGGAATAAAAATAACGATTTTAAATCGAAATTAAAAACAGTCGAAAGTCGATTATTAAAAGGAATCAATCGCCAAAGTTGGATCATAAAACTTATCAAATGAAATGAAATTGAATAATATATGCAAATACCAAAAAATTTAATAATTTCGAGAAACAATAGAAATATTGTTCAAGTATTGATCCAGAGTTATTACACCAGTTTCATATGAATTTCTTAACCTTAGTATTTTTGCGTTCAGTTGCTGCCATTTGAATTTTTGTGGTGTTGGTTTTTCGCCTCGTTCAATTCTGGAAAACACGGTCTGCATTTTTTTCTTGAACTTTTAGGAAAAAAATAATCGTCCACAATGATGTCCTGACACGGGCAATTTCTCGATTCCAACTTGAATGCCAGCTTTTGCAGATATTAGTAGTTCGTAAATTGTAGGGACTGTTGTATACATTCCACATTCCGATATTAATTTTTTTCATCAAAAAATTTTGGAAATAAGTAAAAAAAAATCGATTGTTTTTGGCAAACCAATAGCAAGCGACTGGACTTCTTGGCTTTCTCTGAATCGATCATAGTAATTTGCTACTAAATTCCGAGGAACAAACCCCATGGCGAAAACTTTCCGCGAAAAATTTTAAGTTTTTGATCTTTTTTGTAAGTTTGAGTCAACCCTAGGGCTTGAAATCGACGATAAATGGCCTGGGTATAATGGAAATAGCAACCATAATGGACTGTATAGGGTAAAACTTCTTGTACTGCCGAAATAAATCCAATCTCGAAGTCCGAAATCATCGTTTCAGGATAAAAAAATCCCAAAAGTTTTCAAAAATTTGCTCTCGTAACTTTCGTAAAATGAATTCGTACTGGCTTTGCTGTTTTCCTTTAAGAAGCACCCAACACACGGGAATTTTTGCTCTCCAAAAACCGCAAAAAGTGTATAAATTTGGTCAAATGGTGGAGGCGCAGTTTTAAATGTGCCATCGCAAATACTTGTATCCGTTTTCAACATTTTTTCGAAAGCTTTTTTCGTTGCAAAAATTGCTACACCCAGGTTGGTGTTGAGATCAAAAATTTTTCGTTTTGCTGAGATAAAGCCCAGGATCCATCAATTGTAACGTCCAAAATTTTTTGCGGCACTGGTGGCAGACATTTTTTTCTCTCGCGAGATAAACTGCTTTTCATTTTCTGATATTCAGGGGGCAAAAAATCACTGATATTCGGTGGCTGCGATAGTTTTCTCGTAAATACTCTTCAAGCTTTCTGTTGGGTGTTTTCGAAGTATTTCGAAAGATAATTCTCGAATTTTGCTTTCGGCAATAAATTGATAATCAAGTTCGTGAGAATGATATTCGTCGAAAGAAATAATTAAACTTTTGGATATATTTGTAGATAATTTGGCTTTTCAATCAGAATCGACACATCTGTAATAAATACGGCGTTTAGATATTTTGTTTCTTGTATAACGAAACCCTTTGAAAATTAAATTTGTGCCAATTCGCCGGCGATCAGGGTCAATTTGAAATTTTTCCATATTTCTGCCGTTTTTATAATCGGCCAATATTAATGGTAAGTCCCGTGAAATGTTTACTTTCTTTGAGATTTTCACGCTTTCTTTCCAATTTTGAATATTGACATCTGATTGGCTGATTTTTGTTTTCGCGCATTCGAACCTTCGCGCATGAGGGATTCCACCCAGTATTGGTTTGAGCCTCCCTAATTGAGACAATTATCTCACGGTTGGTCGACAAAACTAACAACTTTAATACAAGGCCAGACTAAGTCAGCGGCAAAACACTGATTGCGCACACATAACACGGGTCTAGGACAACAGGCCGACGGGCTTCAAGCCGAAGGAACTTCAAGCTGAAATTTAAACTTTATAACAACTCAAAACGCTAAATTTTCATCAGTAAAACTTCTAGTTTCAAAAATTTAAGCAAGTTTAGTTCATAATAAGCGTTCCTCATAACAATGCACGACTTAAGAGTGGCATAGGATAGTTTGATCAGCCGGAGTTCGAAATGCATAAATTATAGACATGAAAACCCTTCATCAATGTTATAATTTTAAATATTCCTTAAGATCAATTAGAGGCTCAAAATTTATGAAAAATTCAGTGACTTGTAAAGAAAGATCATGAAATTGAGAAATTCTTGAAAACAGTTTTCATATTAAACATATTTCATGACTTTTTGACAACATGTTCGGCTAGAAGTCCTTAATTTTTCAATTCCGCTGGATGTCCCATCGGCTTGATGTCCGGCTCCGGCACACCAATGACACTGGTGACAAAATAAGCGCAGCGGAGCAAGCGGTCGCTACTAGCACATGTCGCGTTTGAAGTAAGAGAGTTCTGACAAGCTAATTGATCTGAGTCTGGTAAAAGATTGGTCTGCTGAAAAACCAGTGGGCTAAAATCCTTACCACCCTGACCAACATATAATTTGAGTTGGTCTGCAATTTAATTTCCTCTTCTATTCGAAAATCCTGATTATGTTGGTTGATTTGTATTGTTTTCCTTTTTTCGGCTGAAAACTTTTTTGGCTGAAAAGGTTTTGCCTTGTCTGTATTGGCTTAGTTGTCTCATTTTCTCTCGCTCAAAGGGTGATCGTATTTTTTGTTCGTGTGTATATTTTTGAAAACTTCGGGGCTCTAAAATTTGTGAAGCTGTAAAAATTTTTATGACCAAGATTTTTTTCGGCTCAACGGGCGGCCACCTAAGTTAAGTCCATATTTGTGATGTATCTCAAGTGGCGTGAAGCTACGTTTCGCATCTGAGTTCAAAAATACAAATTAGAGGTTTTGATAGCGCCTAATGTTGATTTTTTTATTAGACAATTCCCAAAAGAAAAGTCGAAGAATTTACTAATTAGCTAGACTTACTGTTTAGTTAAATTGTGATCCTCTCTTATCAGAAGAATTTATGGGTTTTGAGTAGATCGAGAAGCAATTTTCCAGAAGTTTTTGCTGAATGAATTTGATTGAATGTTTCTAATTTCGTATTTTTATCAGATTTCCAATTCAGTTTTGAGACCTCTATAATAAGACCTGTAGTTCCAACTGTGCCTTTCCAGGCAGTAAAGTTTTCCGTGTGTTTTTTTTAAATTCAAACTCATATTGTACCTACCGGAAAAGAATGTATCATTTTGTCTATTTTTAAATAGCAACAGGGATCAGACAGTGGATCTAACTTGAATGTGGTTGGCACCGGGGGCAAGAACAGCAGTGCCTCCGCTACACTCGGTCCTTCCTCTGCCTCGGGAGGAGGCAGCGGGGGTGAAGTGACGTCACGAGCGCAGTCGGAGCCCATCCTGCCGGCATTGTTGGTTGCTGGTGCTATCTCTGGTCACCATCCCTCGACTGGACACCACCACCCCAATGCAGCTATTACTCCTGGCAGCCCAGCCGTGGGTGATGCGGCGCATGGCTCAGTGGTCACTTCGAAGTCGGCTCAGAACACGCCCACCGTTGTCACTACTCCCGGCACACCCTCTAGCACTCTGCAGCCACAGGTTTTCACAGGTGATGACTATTTTTTTTTGTAATCCATCAGGTGTTAATGTTATCAAATGTTACTGTTATCAAGTGTTCATGAAGGAAATGATCATCAACTTATTAAGGTCGCGTGGTTTCGAAAAGTGTGGATTTCTGAACTCACTTAATAAGGTCGTGCCGTTTTTTTGGTCTACAAAATCGACATCGCTCGTATATTTTGGCGGTTTTTGTTTTGGTTTCTTTCGCTCAATTTTTAAATACATTAAAAACGTACAAATAATTGGCCCGAAAACTTGTCTTTTAGTTTCCTAGGTGGTTTTTGTTTGTTTCCAGTCGATTTAAAGAATATAACTACTGATACGGTTTTCGGAAGTTTGTATCGTTTTATTGCACAAGCAAACGCTTGAGTTAAACTACGAGTTCACTTTTTCCAACCTAAGTCGCTCAATTTTGTATTCAATTTCTGCGTTCAGTTTCATTGCAACATCTGCATAACCCAGCGCAAGAGTAAAATTGATGCTGTTGATATGTAAAGAAACTATTGTAATGGTTCCGGCTTTCCGAAAAAGTGGCGGAACATTTGTTCTCGCTCAGTTTTTTCTTCAGATTTCGATATTTTGGCTTTTCGCTTTTTCAAATTCCTTGAGATCATTGAGGCTTTAATGACTGCCTATATTGGCGTTTTATACGATAGTAGATTTACTTCTTTTTACAAAGCAAGCTTATTCGGAATTTGGTTATGACGTTCGAGTCCGGCAAATTGTTTTATTTTTCGAAGCCTATTTTTTTTATTTTTTTTCCACTCTTTGACCATTTTAAAGCTTATTTTTGCCGTTTTCTCGCTTGTGTTTGCAAAATGCAGTTTTGCTTCAGCTTAGAACATCTATGGTAGTACAAAAATTTTCAACATTGTGGTTTTTGTAAATAAGATTAATTAATTTTAAAATTTATGAATCATAAAATTTCCATGATATTGAAGGAGCTTGATGTATTAGACGATAGGAAAAGTACCGATAGGAAAAGTAAGAAAACTTATGCAATATAGAATTCAAATTTCTAAGCGACTCCGGCACACTTAGCCTGGAGGTAACAAATGCGTCTGGGACGGCAAAGGTTCTTGGGTTCGAGTCTGACCAGGGCCTGTTTTTTTTTTCAAACGGGAATTATTCCGTTCCAAAGAAACTGTCGGCTTATTATTTGTCTGCTTATGTTTGTCGGCTAAGTTGCCATATCTTAGAGTTTTTTGCTGTATGCAGTTTTCATTGTAGTTGCTTTTTATGTTTTCGTTTTGTGATTCTACTGCGTATATTTTCTTTTTTTGTTTTTTTTTCGCTTAAAATTTTTTCGGCTTTAAAGATTTCGGCTTATATTTTATCGGCTTACTAATTTAATTTTGAGTCTTTCGAGAGGACCATAATTTATATGTTTTCCTCCGGATCGCACAAAGCGTTAAAAATCTTCGAATAGAATTTATAGTTTCCTCAACCGCCGTCGAATGTGTTCTGAACGTGTTTTCAGCAAATTTGGAACATCATTCCGGATAACATTTTGAAGTTTTTTAATTGTGGTTTCTTCGAAAATTTTTTTTAGTTCTTATTGGCCCTTTCTCTTTCTATTTCTCTTTTTTTTCCAGTCTGATGGCTGTTATAGCATTAAGAAGAAGCGCGGCGGAGCTTTTATACTTTTTATTTTTATTTAACGTCACAATGATTTTTTTTGTTCGCTTTTTTTCAGGAAGTCTTAGAGTTTGTTCTGCTCAACTTTGAGTTTTCGCGGTTTGACTTTTGATTTCCTTTCAGTTCAGTTCAGGCCATCTATTTTTTTTTTTGAAATTTGAAAGTTGAAATTTTATTAAAAAACAAGTCTGCATTTTTTCTGTTTTATTGCTTTCATTGACTCTTTTCCAACTGTCATTTGGCTATTTTTTTTTCGGGTCCAATTTGTTCATTGACACTTATGCAACTATATTTTCCTATGTTTATTCGCTAAAATTTGCTATTCCAAAATTGAAATCTTCTCAAATAAGCGACGGCCGATTGCTGCGATGCATGAGTTGTACTTGTCAACTGTTTAATTTTTAGCTTTGCTATACCTCGAACATACGAACATCAGCGTAAATCGAACATAATTTCAGGCTTTGGGGAAAAACAGGTGGTTACGAGGAAAACTGTCTCCTGTGCCCAGGACTACGAGGCACCAATCGGAGAAGGAGATGAGAGTGGCAGGTCATTTGGTTCCTTCGGCAGGCAGAAGTTCTCCTGTGGCGATTTCACTTTCATCAAAGTCCTCGGAAAGGGCTCTTTCGGAAAAGTAAGAAAACTAGTATTCATAGTAATAATGTGTAATACGACTGGCAGTTAAGAGGCTTATAAGGCTTTACTTACAGGTTAGTTGCTGAAGTCGCTTAGTTCCTCGCTTAGTCTATTGATTTCTCTTTTCCATCACCCATTGTGTTCTCAGTCTCATTTGTTGCTCTCATTGGTTAATTAAAGTCCTGTAAACTGCACGAAATTTTTTAATAGACCTATTTCCATGAAATATTTATTTAAAACCCATGTAATGAAGTATAGGAAATGGAGGCATATATTACTGTGTCACAAGGGGGTACAATTTGCCCTCTGTGTAAAAACTAAGCTTAAAAGAAGTTCGAGCTGAGTTTTTTCCTGTTCATTTCTTCGGTACAAGTGTGATAGAGGTATCCCATAAAACTAACCCTCTATCACTCTTGGTTTTTACCCTGACCTCTATCTCACTTGTATCTTCATTTTCTTTGAATTTAAAATAAATCAAAAAATGAAATATGTTTGGCTGGCTGACACGGACGAGTAAATGGTTTTTGTTCATCTAAGGAAGCGTTTTTTAATCTCGCAGATACCAGAAATTACGTTAACGAATAGACGGATGCGCCATACTTAGAGCTTCTTTTTAGGAAATAGATAAGATTTACTAATAAGTTTTTCCCTGTGTGATCTGAACATTATAGAGTCTACGAGGGAAATAATTTTGAGTCTCAATTGGATTTTTGACCTGTTTTGTTTTAGCATGTTGCAGCATACTTTCATAGAGGAGCGGATCTAGATTTTTCTCAACTGAGGCGGATTTTCAAAAAATTGTCTAATTTTGGGTCTTTATTATAGGTCGACCAAATTTATTTTCCGAGCGCTACCAAAATCACTACTTAAGTCTCTGTTTTGACCAAATTGCTTCCGCTCCCCCTCCTTAATCCGCTACTGCTTTCAAATATAGAATTATGCATATAAAGTTTATGTTAGTAAAGTAAAAGAGACTCGATTTACTTTCCAGGAACAATGGATGGACATAATGTTAAGTATGGCCGTCGGCAATGATTCGCTCCTAGTCTCGTTTCAAGTATCTTTTGATTTAATGCCAGGTTGCTATTATCACATCATCTGTTGAATTGCCAATAATCTCGAATTAACCGTTTTCGTGCTATGACTTATCTATTTATATCAAAAATGAAGCGACTGATGTTGGCTCTTTTTCCTAATCGAAAAAGTGAATGAAAGCTATTTTTATGGTATTGAATAAGAAGGTTGAAAAAAGAGGCTTGTTTTTTTATCTTTATTGAAGTTTAGAAGAAAGAAGTATGAGGATGTGCGGTTTTGCATAGTAGAGGGTTTGATGATTGTGTGATAGGTGCTTCTGGCGGAGCTGAAGATCAATCCAGAGGAGGTGTTTGCAGTGAAGGTTCTGAAGAAGGAGTCCATTGTGGCGGACGATGACGTGGAGTGCACGATGACGGAAAAGAGGGTGCTGGTGCTAGCCAGTCAGCATCCCTTCTTGACTGGGCTACACTCCTGTTTCCAGACTCCCGACAGACTCTTCTTCGTCATGGAGTACGTCAACGGCGGAGATCTCATGTTCCACATCCAGAGGGCCAGAAAATTCGATGAGCCGCGTGCCAAATTCTACGCTGCAGAGGTCACACTGGCACTCATGTTTTTGCACAGCCATGGAGTGATCTACAGAGACCTGAAGTTGGATAACATTTTGCTGGACAGTGGAGGACACTGCAAGCTGGCCGATTTTGGAATGTGTAAAGAGGGAGTGAAAGACGGAAGACTCACCAGCACGTTTTGCGGTACACCCGACTACATAGCTCCAGAGATCCTGCAAGAACTGGACTACGGAGCTTCAGTTGATTGGTGGGCATTAGGTGAGCAAACGCAACAATGGCAGCAGAGATCTAATAAATGAATCGATACACATATCAAAGATACCCCGAAACGTATCAGTGATTGTTCTGACCACTCGAAGAATGGAAAGGAACTTGGTGTTCGGGTCGTTTTTTTCCCAGCAAATTTTGACTACCTCAAGGAAAGCTCTTAGGGATACAGCGTATAAACATATTAAAGCCTTTTTAGTCGTGATTTGGATCTTTCAAATAAGTTGTGTGTCGAGAAAATTGGTTGGAACTGTTTGTTTTAAAGACATTACACAGACGAAATGGGATGAGAGGTTGTCCTCGAAACACCGGTTTGAAGTTTTTGCAATTTAGTCTAGTTTCGAGCGACAGTAAAGCGAGCGGGTTACGCTTGTTACATAAAAATCGGTTATTTAAGCTATGAAAACTTTATTTTTACCAAAATAAAACTTGAACGTGTAATTGAAGATTCATACAGCGCTTGATTTTTTTTTTCGGTTTGTTACTCCTTTTTAAAGACAAATAAGGTCGATTAGAACTGAGGTCAAGTTCTGAGTTCTCTTACGTCCTCTTTTATGCCCACACTGCGCACAAAAAACGGCTCTTTTTTTTAAAATATATATATTAAGAGTTCTTGAAATGGCTGTCGTCAGATAATTCTTTGCAACTTGCATAGCAACCAGCTAGTCTTGTTGTCTTAAGGTTTTTGTCCTTACTCTATATCTCGTGAAAACCATGCATATTGAGGTTTTACTGGACGATGCTTAGAACCTTTAATGTAAGTTTATTATTTGCGATGTATACTTCTCTCAACAGGTCAAAGCGAACGCTGTTAATGATTGAAATACTTTAATCAATAAGACTGCCACTAAGTTTATGATCGTCGCGCTACAATTTCACAGTAATTCCAGTACGCTAATTTCACGCGACTTAATCCATTCAAGCTGCTGCATCATGGCACCAATCGCCTGCCTTTGGGTCTCTAACTAGTCCAGTTATTACTCAAAGCTGTATGACGAATTGATTGCAAGCGAAATGAACCGACACCCTTCTGCCCGACCGTTTGCTACCTTCATTCATTTTCAGCAAGATTAATTTTCAGCAGGGCGAGTATAACAATTAAAAACGATACGGGCCTTTTTATGCTACACACAAGTTGTAAAGTAGCTCAAATCGTCAATTGCAAAACACAAATACGGCCCACTTTTTAATTTTCATCTTATGCTACTCTTCTTAATGAAAAGTTATAAAATATCTTGTTTATAAAAGGACAGTGCTTTCCAAGTTTCAAGGATACTGGTGTTTTAAAGCGAAGCAAAAATCATGCCAAGATGAAAAAAATCAGAAAGGGTAACAGCATGCTGTTTGTTGTGCTAACCATTCTTCTTCTCGTCGCGACCCTATGAAAACAAACAAATATTTTTTTCAGAAAAAGTCTTTAAAATTTGTCCAGGTTCAAATTTATTCGCGGTTTGACTTTTGATTTCTTGCAAATTTGAGTTAATTTCCTTTGTTTAAAGGGAGGCAAAGTCCACTATTGAACAGCAAAAGTGTAAAGGTCATGAAAAACGGTATCGTTTTCTTGTCTCGAAAGTGGAATTTAATTTACAGATTTCCCAGCGGAATAAAAACTTTACCTATTGATTCAGTGTTCTCAGATTGGATTAGTTTTATTTAAAAAGGTCAAATCATAAAATTTCCTTCTAATTCAAAGATTTTAGAGGCCATATATTTTTTCAAAATCACAAGTTGAAGTGTTTTCAAAAAACAAGTCAGTTTCTTGTGTTCATTATACTGTTTTCAACTGTCAGTTGGCTGTGTTTTTTGTAGTTCAGCTCAAAATTAGTAACTACATTGAATACACGACAATGCGGGATAAAAAATCAGTATGAGTCATTAACGGCTGGAAAATGATTTTTACACCAGCGTCAGCAAATGTCTTATTATCGGGAACTTTCCGTAAACAACTTTTCTTACAAATTTTGAACTCTTTATTATTGAGTCTTAACAAAATCCAGGTTCCTTCCCACTTGGACTAGAGGTAATGCTGTCGCCTTTGCACCGTAAGGTCGGGGGTTTGAATCCAGCTGGGCCTTGTTTTTTTTCAGTAAATATCCAATTGAAAAATTTAACCGGCAATAATTGATTTGTCGGACTTTCGCTTGTCTTTTATGTCGGCTTATTTGCCACTTCGCGAGTTTTTGTAATGCTGTAAGCAAGTTTCATGATAGTTGTAAGTGTTTTTCCTTTTAGCTTCAGGGGGGACTAAAAAATTGAAACTTCAAAAAGTTGTTTTTTGTTTTTTTTTCCGGCTTAATTGTTGTCTGCTGAAAGATGTCGGCTTTGTCTCCGCCTCGTAAGGTTTGTTCTTCTAGTAGTTTAAAATTCAAATTTCTTTCTTGGCATGTTTGCCTAAAATTTTTGCTTGATAAAACAGTTATTATGAAAATGTATATGATTGGTTTTTTATTGATTAAAAAAATTGTGAGACGCTTTGTAAATTTTTTTCACTTTTCTCAATTCTAACGATTCTCAAAATGGGGTTTCAATGGAAACGCCGCCTACTCCCTAGTGTGACTTCATACTCCTCTTGCCTCTTCTTACACTACCCATCTGTCTACAGCCTGAAAAAGTCAGTGTGGTGAATATTTGACACATATTTTTGATTTTTTTTCATTTTCTCAAAAATAACCATCCAAAGTCTAAGATTTGTAACTTCAGTGAGTAGAACAGGTTTTGGAAAGCATCCCTGCATAAGCGGGTACGCTCAATTTTTTTCTACTTAAAATTTTGGCCGACGAAGTAGTCAAATTTTTGATTTTTTGACCATTTTTTGAATCTTTTCACGAAAACTTACCTCCCAAACCTGAGATTCTGGGTTCAATGATGAAAAAGGGTAAGGGAAAACTTCCCGGCGTTTGCGGCCACTCACAATTTTTTTTTTAAAAAGTGATCGCGCTCTTAGAAAAAAAAGAAAATTGACTTATCTCGAGGCCTACACTCCCAACTCTGAGTTTCGAACTTACAGGTTGCGTGAATCCATTTGCATTAGCGGCTACGCCCAAACTTTTTTAAACAAAAAGCTTTGATTCTCGGAAATGTCAAGTTGTTGATTCTTTGACCATTTTTGGACTTTTCTCGATAACTATCCTGATAAATCTGATATCATAGCTGTCACCGAAATAACAGGTTGTTGAAAGCGTGCCTTTATAATTGGCTAGGCCATTTTTTTTAGAAAAAATTATGGCCTTTAAAAAGTACCGTACCACGACCTTCTTGTTGTAGAAAAAAAAAACAATTGGATTTCGGAAGTCTTTTTGAATTTTTGACCGTTTTGTAGATATTTCTCGAATTTTCTTAAAAACTAACCCTTACAAATTTGAAATAAAAATACTTTTTATGCTGTTGAAGCAAGACATGTCGGCAAGAAATTTCTGTTGAAGCAAGAATTTTGTTGAAAGCAAAATATTTTGATTTCAATATATTAAAAATGACTATCAACGAGAAATATATTCTCTTATACAGGTATTTGGAAATTTTTAGCTTTGTAGAACTTAATTGAGTTATGTAAAAGACTTCATTCGAAATAACTTCCCCGTCAATGATTTTGGTAGTTTCAGCATAACTCTTGGTAAACTAAAACAGCCAAATTCTGGTGAATTCTGAGCAATTTTTGTTCTCTTCATTTTTGTCTTAACTTAACCCAGTTTGAGAAAAATGTGTTGGAAATTTCGAATTTTGTTAGTTGTGTCCGGGTTAATTTGAATCAGCACTGTAGTTTTCATTCTGACTCTGCGGTTTTCTGATTAAATCAAGCACATTAGGTTATGTTGAAGGAGCACATCACATACCCAGCTGAAGTACCCTCTATTAAGTTATTTGACTTCTGATTTTTGCCAGCATTTTTGAACGGTTTCTTGTTGAGAGTCATGAACTTAGTGAATACTCTTATATAGGTCTTAGTGATTTTAAAAATTTTGTTTTTCAGGAAAAAGTCTTCAAACTACTCTAATAATTTACATTTGTGCATTCATACATATGAATAGTTAGTTATACTTCTTTTGCTATTTATTTAAGAGTCGATGAACGTAGTGAGGATTCTTATAAAGGTCCTGATTGTTCAAAGTTTTTTTTCAGGAAAAAAAGTCTTCAAATTTGTTCACGCTAAAATTTGATTTTTTTTGCGGTTTAGCTCAATTGTTTTTCAGTTCACTTGATTTCCTTTATTAATAGGAAGGCAAACTCCACTGTCGAACACTAAAGACCACGGAAAACGTGATCGATTTCTAGTTTTGAATTTTGTTTTCAGATTATATTTTTCAGATTTCCCAGTGGAATAAAAAATTTACCTATTGATTCAAATTTCTCAAACTGGGATAATTTTATTATGAAAGTGTCAGTCATTATTTTTATTGAAATCTAAAAAGCCTTAAGGCGGTAGATATATATTATTTTTAATTCGGAGATTGAATTTTGTTTTTGTCCCCTTGCATTCATGATTTTTCCAATTGTCTGCTGGCTATGTTGTCTAATGGCTTTTTTTGAAAGAGGTAACGATCGTCGGTTGTGGTTTAGAGCGCCAACCCAAGTATGTCATGAAACGGCCTTGTTCAAATGATTCATAGTCTACGGTGTGATTCTAGAAATGGACTCACTGCCTTCAAATTGCAAAAAAAGGTAAAATATTGCTGCTCTGCTGAGGGATGAAACAGCATACACTGATTCATAGCTTTTGAAAGTGACATGTAAATTATGTCTCAGTGGTCAATCTTGGCTTTGTTTTAAACATACGGGGCCTTCGTCGTCTGGCCTACAGTTATATGGCTGCAAATTGTCACATCTTGCTGTACCCTGAAGATCCATTGGTGTCGTAGTATCGCTGATCGACTTGGGTACAGATCCAAACTCCATTTTCCGTGAAATCGCCTGCGTGGTCAAGGTTTATTTCGGCATTTTGCTACTGTTTAGAAAACCACGGAAATGGGGAAACATCATTTAACTTGGATAATTTGGACGTTGTTCGCTCGTTCCCTATCCTATGTTCGAATCAAAAACTGAAATTAAAAAGGGCCAATTGTATCCTCCCACCACATTCAACAAAATGTGTATGTTGTTACTTGCTCAATTAGTCTTTGCGTTCAACCTCCCGCCCATTTTATAACAGCGCACATGAAGTTCCTTTTTGCAGAATTTGAACCTATTTAATTTTGAAAAACGTCAAAAGTAAAAGGTAGGTACTAGGTAGCACGTGTATTACTTACTCGTCCATTTGTTTTTTTAAGGAACGAACTCAGTTAATTCTTCTTATGAACATTCTTTTTTTTCTGAAGTTTTCTTGTTGGCTCTTTTCAAATTTTCCTTGATAAAGTAAACCCCCCCCCCCCCCCCCCCCAACCTTTCAAATCTTCTTTTTTATATTATTGTTTTACGTGTGATTATGAATGAGCGCGTGCTCTTACGGTGTAATGTATTAAGAACAAATATTTTTATAATTATCAATTTTTCACCATGCCAAATTTCATTGAACTATGACAACGTTGCTTTAAGAGTCGATGAACGTAGTTCAGACTCTTATGAAGGTCGCGATGATTTTTTTGTTCTTTTTTTTTCTGGAGAAGTCTTAAAATTTGTTCAAGCTCAAATTCACTTTTTTCGGGGTTTGACGTTTGATTTCTTTCTAAGTTTAGTTCAATTTCTTTATTAAAAGGAAGGCAAACTCCACTATCGAACAGCAAAAGTGTAAAGGTCACGAAAAACGTCATCGACTTCTAATTTCAAAAATGGAATTCAATTGTCAGATTTCCCAGCGAAAAAAAATTTACATATTGATCCAGTTTTCTCAAAATGGGTCGATTTTATCGAAAAAGTGCTGGTCATAAATTGTTCTAGAAGTTCATAGAGCTTCAAGGGCATCTGTTTTTTTCTTTGAAATTCGAAAGTTGAGATTGTTTCCAAAAACAAGTCTGCATTTTTTTCTTTTTAATTGCGTTCATTGACTCTTATCCAACTGTCTGTTGGCTATGTTCAAATTTTCGAGTTTTGAGTCGCCCTTTTTGATTATTGCATTGATAAATGTTGGCAAATGTAAGTGATGATTATGTTTAATTAATGTGCAAAAGACTGATATGATGTTAATGTAGGTGTGCTGATGTATGAGATGATGGCGGGCCAGCCGCCGTTTGAAGCTGACAACGAGGACGACCTGTTCGAGTCCATTCTTCACGACGACGTGCTCTACCCCGTGTGGCTGTCCAAGGAAGCGGTGAGCATCCTTAAACAGCTCATGACCAAAAACCCCGGAAAAAGACTGGGCTGTGTGGCCACACAAGGCGGAGAGAACGCCATCAAAGCGCATCCCTTCTTCAGAGACATCAACTGGGAAGACCTGTTGCGCAGAGCAGTGCGACCACCGTTCAAACCGAAGCTGAAGACAAAGCGAGACGTCACCAATTTTGACCAGGACTTCACTCGGGAAGAGCCGACGCTCTCGCCCGTGGAGCACAAAGTAGTTGAGAGCATCAACCAAGACGAGTTCTGCGGCTTCTCATACACAAATCCGAACGCATTTATTTGACATGCAGCAAAGTAGACACCCGAACCAGATAGCAACAACAGCAGCAGCAGACAGATTGCGTGGAGGAGGTGCTGTCTGATTTTGTATCGTATATCTTTCTGTTTATATCTAGTCTTGGTAATACTTGGATTTGAGCTATTCTTTTCTGCAAAACAAACTTATTTGTAACACTGCCCGATCATTAGCTGGAGTCTGAGAGTCAGACTAGTAACCTCCCATAGTGTTCTTCGAAATCAATTTTGGGATTCCATCCTCATTAAACGCCACGCCACAACACTGAAAAAGTCCAGAGAGGATTCTACGTTCTCTGAAGCTGAGCAAAAGATGGTCATGAAGTGTGATGGTCTTCTCTCTATCTCTCCTCTCATGAATAAATTTATGGAGTGTTTTGTTGATCAAATTGTAGAAGGGAAGCAACACTTGAGTCTATTGCCAGCATGAATCCCCATTTGTCATCAGACGGAAACTCAATTCGCAAATGAAATTAAAAATGAAATATAGCTCGATAAAACTTTGTTTGAAAATTAGAAATTAATTTATTAAATTGTGGTTTCTATAGTATAACTATAGCAAACATTTTTCATCAATTGCATGCGCGGAGCATTTGATGCTCCTGCAAATTCGAGTATTAATACTAAATCTTAAGCCACTCTAGTTAACTACAATATCCTCCTCTTTGTAAAATTGAAATTCTTTTTTAAATCAAACTCTTATTTTAAATTAATTCAAATTAGAGAAAAAATATCAAATGCAATTTTATAGTCTGCTCAACCTACCAAGTTCGTCAATGCGGTAATTTATAGTGCAATAATCATTTTATAATTAACACAAGCGAAGCAAATTAAGTGTTTATGGGATCATTTTTAGTAAGATTTCGCCCTTTTGCTTCTACGAAGATTTTAAGCTATGATATCTGATTTTATTGTACGTTTTTGTTCGCTTGTGTATGTAAGAAGTCCAGTTGAGCCCCTGTGATAATTTAGTTCTCGAAGATTCTTCTGCAAATTTCCGTTGAGCTGCTGCTTGGCTGTCCTGATTATGTAACTTCAGTTCAATCATACAATATAATTTGTTACCTCATGCGCCTAATTGACATCTAAAGTTCCATCTGTGCTTACGGCCATCTGAAACTTAAAAACTAAAATTAAAATCAATATATACTTTTTTCAAACAGAAATTTCCTGAAAGCGATTGCTTGATACGTTTTCTAATATGGCTGTGAAGTAGCATCATTGAATAATTACATGAAATGATTGTCTCAATTTATGCCAGCCTAAAATTCGCACGTAATACATGCTCCACGTTTCAGATGGTACAAAGTTTTTATTCAATTTAGTTGACTTTTCATATAAAAAATCAGAAGCAGTGCAGTTTTGGCTGAGATTGTCTCTCAAAGCTAATCCAAAGGCAGGAGAATGTTGTAGGTTTCTGATTATTGGCTGTGAGTTCAATTTTAGGCAATTCACAGATAAGGCTTCCAATTTTTGATTGATGGCATTTTAATAAGAAAATCGCGCCTTTTTTCTACTGTACGTAGAATTTAAGGTTTCAAGAAAGGTTGAGGTTGATATTGTTGATAAGATAAGGTTGAAATTATCAAGTTTTGACACAAGTGCTACTGTTTTTTTGCAAGAGAAAGAGAAATATGCAAAAGTAAAGGTAAAGGTTATGCAAAAGGTAAAGGTGTATGCAAAAGGTAAAGGTGTATGCAAAAGTAAAGGTTAAATGAACTACTAGTAGTGAAAAAATCTACCTTCTAATCAAATCTAATACGAGAGACAAACTTAAAATCAGATTTTATGCAAAGGGATAGTGTAGCAAGTATATTGCAGCCAGAACCCAGCAATTTAAGTAACGTGCAATCTCATAGTTTAATTTTATAGCAATTTTCAAAATACAGAGCTTTTAAAAATACGGATGATATAAAAATTTGATTTTGATTAATTAGTCAGTTTACAAAGTAAGCCAGACGACATTGTCGATTTGTCGTATTCATCTCTCGTAATTTCTGTGGTTTATAGCATTAATAGTTTACTACTACGTTACGTATAAACAGTATAATTTATTAATCAAATTATTTGATAGTCCTCCACTTGAGTAAAATGATGTTGACTCTCTGCTTTTGATTTTTCTTTCCATCGTCACTTTGAGCATTGAACTAGCTTCTTCTCTGAAACTACCGCGCCTTTCTTCAAGTTTTACTGATGATTGTGAGAAATCTCTCTCTGCCTTGTAAATGGCGTTAGTTTGAACGAGATCCGTTCGGTAGCTTCTGAGAGGGGCCGTGAGATGGATAGTTTCGATGGTCGTGTTGCTCTTCTCGGAATGTGTAAATGTTGTAAAGTGCATATTTAATAAATTTTCAATCCTTAATTTCAATTTTACACGATAGTCGGTAAAATTAATTTAAATTTAATTGTTTACCTCCTAAAGTTTTCACAGTTCAGCAATCGGCAATCTTCGTTAAACAGAAACACAAATCGCGAAGAAAATGAGTGGACTAGGCATGATCGACATCATTTGGCTTTAAAAAAGAATATATAACAAAAAATGAAAAAAAAACTCAAATATATATTTTTTAATTTTGCACATGATTTTGATTTTGATAAATTTTTAAATGTTCGAATCACGTCTTAAATGACCTTTAAAATATTCGAGCCATTCCAATGATTATTTTGCGTGTAAAACAAAGAAAAAACTAAAACACCCGAATACAAAGCTCCTCACCATTTTCAATGGTCGGAACAAGGATAGCCAGTTGAACCACTATCGCAGATTGTTTTGACCTTCATGAATTGAGTAAAAACTAGACAAAGGCCACGAAACACGTGATCAACTTCTAGTTTCAAAAGTGCATTGTAAATTTCAGATTTACCAGATGAATAAAAAACTTTTCTTTTGGATCCAGTTTTCCCAAATTGGGCTGATTTTGTCATAAAAATATTAATCATTAGCTTTCGTAGAAATCGAAAGAGGTTTTAGGACATCTATATTGAAATTAGAACGCGGAAGTCGAGTTTTTTTGAAGTAAGTCAGTTTTTCTCTTGACTTGCAACCATTGACTTTTCCTACGGTCTGTTGGCTATGATTGCAGTGCAAGTAACACAACATTCTCCATCGCAGTAATAACACCAAAAATATAATAAAAAATTTGCGGAGAAGTGACAAGGAAACACTATCATAAATTGTTAATATTAATTATGAATCTAGTAATCTCATCTGCGGTAAATATTAGTCTCGAAACAGGTAAAAATGAGCACCGCTTTTTTGGGCTTCCAAAAAAAATTTTGAATGAATTTTTTTAAATGCGATTCATGGTTGAAATATGGTTTTTAAAAGCTTACCTCTATCGATGATGTATAAGTTTCTTTGAGTTAACCATGAGCGATTGGAAAATATACACTGGATTGCAGTTTTCCTTTTTTCTAATAGTTGTTGGAGTAAAATGTTTAGAAAAATAGGATGTTTGCGGCGAAGAACAGTTTTTCAAAAAAAATATTTGTTTTTGAATGAACTTTTTTCCCTCGTGAAACATTTTTTTTTGCCCAGTAAATCTCGAATTTCAACTACACATGCGAGGCAAAATGTTTTGCAACCGGGGTCTATACTTTTTTAAATGACTCATTTACTTGGTGTATTGAAAGGCGACAGGAGTCATCTTCTGTTGGCAACTCTTTAAAATTTATGGCAATAGATATTTTTTGAGCGTATCTGCTTTTCACAATTCAGCTTCAAGGAAACGTTGCATGGATCAATTCAAGAACGAATTGGCAATCTTCGTCAAACAGCAACACAGATCGCGAAGAAAATGAGTGAAATAGGCATGATCGACCATCATTTGGCTTTAAAAAAGAATAAATAACAAAAAAAAACTCAAATATTTATTTTTTTAAATTTTGCACAGTAAATCTCGAATTTTAACTGTACATCCGAGGCAAAATGTTTTGCAACCGGGTTCTATACTTTGATAAATAACTCATTTACTTGATGTATTGAAAGGCGACATGAGTCATCTTCTGTTGGCAACTCTTTAAAATTTATGGCAGGAGATATTTTTTGAGCGTATCTGATTTTCAATTTCCGGTTCTTTTTTAAATTGTTGAGTATTTTAATGGTGTAAGTAAAATGAGTATTATTTTCGTTTTGTTTTCTTTTGCGCGTTTAAAATTCGAGGTGTTGATTTCGATCAATGATATATCGGGTTTACTGCTGCAATTTATATCCTGTGAAGGGCAATATTTCTAAAAACTCGAACTTCTAAATTTTTTGTAGCTCAAAACTTACTGTGACAGAATTTTTGTACAGGAAAAACGTACAAAAAGATAAAGGTACAGGTTGATTTTGTGATTTCGCAAGTTTTAGTGCTTTAAAAAGGCGGTTAATTTAATACACTTTACGTAACTCTTTGTGTAATATTCTAAATCTAATTTTTTTGGTGATCGGTGTTCGCAGGAAAGGTGGGGGCAATGAAGATATCAGACTGTACCTTAGGTGTCAGGACTATTTGCCCCAGGACAAATTTCCTTATGCCAACTTGCCATATACTAAATTGCCCCATATGAAAACTTCTCCTATGCCAGCTTTACCGCATGACAACTTGTCGTTTGCCGTTTTGGCCCGCAATTAACACTTCTAGTTAATTATTTGATGTCCAAATCGAGTAATTTTTAGGACCAGCAAGTGCAAACGGTAAACTCAACTCGTTTCGAGACAAGAATTGAAACTAATTCAAATTAGTTTAACTGAGCCTCAAATATCATCTAAGTGGTACTTTTTGTCAGTCAAACGCAAAGTTTTGACCATCATCCGCAATTAACGTTTTTGACATAACAAAACACTAATTTTTATTTATTTTTGCGTCCTTGCCTAAATATTTTCTGCGCAATCATACATGGTAATTACTATGAGTCATATTACCTGGAAAAACTCTGAATGAAATCAACGAACGCTGATTATATACGGACATGATTTCACAGAAAAAGAAAACATCAAAAAAACAGCAGAAAACTGGAGATAGGCGAGATACAGTTCACATAATTGCCACTGAGTGCTCGCAGTTACAGCTGGAAATGAACTGGTTTCTACCAAAAACGAACACAGCTATGATATTAAACCTAGAAAATTTGTGGTGAACCAGATCATGCATCAAATCAAACATGGCAGAAGCAGAACCAGGGTCGGAAGAAATATCACGATATCCATGCAAAATTCGAAATCTTTCCAATAATTTTAACAAAGCTCATTATTTAAATTTGCGAAGCAGTATTATTGTAGAAACTGTTTTTTTTTCTAACCTAAGTCGCAAATATTGTTGCGACTTTTATTGCAACTTGAAGCAACAATATTTGTTTCATCGAATTGGCAATATAAAATGATTGGCATTATGTTGCACCTTACAGCTTATTGATAACATTAGCTTTGACATTCGAATAGTTATAAGTTTACACAGTTGATGCATTTTCAGTTCATCAAGAGTACCGAAAAAAGCTATTTGTTTTGAACAACATAACAACCAAAAAATCTCGATTTCAGAAATTTGTTTATTCAATATATCTCGCAATCTCGTAATTTTCTGTATTCAGTGCTACTTTTACTGCATTGAGTTGGCGATCTATTAGCATATGCAGCTGCGTGATTGGTGGCTATTTTTTGCGGATTTTAAGCATCCGTGGCTGAATGGTTGGAGCGTCAGACTCAAATTTGCTAGATCGCAAATTTTTGCTAACTGGAGTTTTTACTAACCCTCGAGTTTTTGCAAGTTCGAAATTTATTTCTACTTTTTTTAATGTCATTTCATAGGCAAGTGTTTGCGAAGCGCAGCTTTGCCTCTGTGTTTGATTATTAACTAGCTCATTCGAATCTTTCGTAAATTTAATAGTGTCGGCATAATTTTTTTTTTTACAAATTGTTGGTATTTTGTTGCATTTTGAGTTCAATTTTGAATAATCGTTTTTTTCAGCTTATAGCCAGCGTAGAGAGCCCACTTTTTAGAAGCGATAGAAACCAATACTGCAATAACTTTGCTCTTTTCATCACCCCGTCTACCGTACTGGGGTACCGAGTATGAGGGGTGTTGGCTTGGGGAAGT